CCTCGCCTCACAGGAAATGCCAAAGGTTTTAGGATCTCTGAGCCCAAAATGGCGATGACCAAATATATATTTCTTATTAAAAATCACAATTTCAATCTCATGCAGAAGAAAAAACAAACAAACAAACAAAAAAACCCTTTGGTTATCACCCGTCCTCTTCTTGCAGGAGGCTGGCTGCTCAGGGTAGGGCAGTCACCAGAGGCTGTACTTTTCCAGTGGTGGGTGAAGTTAGGGGCACAGGGGGGGTCCCTGCCTCTCAAGGTAGAAGCAGGATGGCAGAAGACTGGGGCTAGAATTGTACCTGATTTCAAGTCACCTTAAAATGATAATGATGCCATATTTGAACTAACTTTAATTAAATAATATCTCCTCAGCCTACAAGACTTACCAGGGGCCTTGGCTAGTACACCTGAACAATTGGGGTGAGGGAGTCCTTGCTGGGAGAGGAGACTAAACCTCTTTGCACATGCAAACAACTGGACAGTGAGCAGCCCAAATGAAGCCCTGAAGAACCCCTTGGGAAGAATGTAGTGGGGTTGGTGTGAGTTGGTGTGAGGTGGAGGCTTAGATGCCACGAATCATCCTGTGTTGCATGCTTCTCCCCACCGCTGTCTGCAGAGCTCATTTCAATGATCCCTATTCATGGATGAGAAATTTTTTGCAAAGTCTCCTGAGGCAGATGCTCAGATCAACAGGGCCTTGAGTATGGGTGGAAGCGAGAACATCCTGGATGAGCTATAACACACCAGAAGGGGAAAAGACAGGAAAGGAAGGGTAGCATGAGAGCTGGTGACAGGCTGTGTGTGTTGTGTTTGGTCCCTCAGCATCTCTCACCCCAATCTTCAGTTAAAAACTCAAGTCAACAAAATGCTTAAAGTAACTTGATTTTCCATGGGAATAATTAAAGGCCTGGGCTTTTAGTCTGCCCTGATGGAAGTGAGGACAGTAAATAACTTGGGGTGAGCAGGTGTGGGGAGATCTCAAAGCAGCACACACAGATGGAGCTAGAACTAGGGTTGTGAGGAGGTTGGCTGCAGAAGGTTCTGGAAATTGGAGGGCTTTTGACTATTTCAGGCTGAGGAACTTAGGTGTAGGCTAAGAAAAATTCAGTCTTCAAGGACATTATGAATTACATATGTATATGATAATAATATTAATAGATTTCATTTACTGAGCAATTAGATGTGTTTTTTATATGCATTATTTTATTTGAGTCTATTCTCATAACTGCAACAGGTAAGTATGATTATGGACTCTACAGGACTCATTCTTATTATACGTTTCATTTTTTTTACTCCATTTTTAAACCAAATAACTGTAGGGCAACACATAACAAAGGAAGTTAAAGGAATCAAAAAGAAATAAACTGAAAAGAAAACTGAGGTGTAGTGAGCCTGACAGCCTGATTCTTAAGACTGTGCTCTTGGCCATTATTTGTTCTCAATTCTTCCTTTCCCCTCTCCTCTCCTCTCCTCTACTCTCCCATCCATCCATCCATCCACCCATCCATCCATCCACCCATTCATCATCCATCCAACCACCCATACATCCAACCATCCAACCACCCATCCATCCAACCATCCATCCATCCATCCATCCATCCATCCATCCATCCACCCACCCATCCACCCATTTATCCATCCACTTTTCTGACTATGTCTATATCCACTTACAGAAATAATTCCTTTTTAGGTAAGAGGTTGGATTAGATAACCTAAAAATATCCTTCCAGCTCTTAGGTTATATGAGGCATCTTTCACCTTAGATTATATTGTAATTATTTTTGGTAGGATGTTGGTCTTCCGAATTAAGTTGTTTGGTCTTATTGAGACATACCTTTTTACTGAAGCTCACCTAATCTAGAGCTTTGTCAGGATATCATTTTGCTTCAGATTATTTTGAACTCTGAATACATGGCAAGTGGTGAGTAAGAACAACCATTCAGACAGGCAATGAGCAAGAGGAAACATCACCTGGTTTTATCTCACTTGAATGCTAAGTCAGTGATGACAATGATGGTGGTGATGGAGGTGATGGCAATGATTATAATGAGTCCAGTAAATCATATGGCCCTTATATCAGAAGGGATGTGGAGAGGTCATTCAATTTACCTTCTAGCCTCCTGTTAACTAATGCTGGATTCATTCCTGAAGTATGCCTACCCTCGTTTAAAAAATCTTAAGACCTTTCTAGCCCCACCTCTTCTTGACTTTAGCCAAAGTCCCATTGTTATATAAGTTTATTCTTCCCCTCCATTTAAAAAACAACTATTACATAGCATATAGTTCTTTGAACCACACAGCAAAAGAAAATTAAAGAAAACCAGAAAGAAGCCAACTATATGGTCATGGTTGCAAGAGATTGATGGTAAAGGGGAGGCTGAGTTTGGGGATAGAGAAGCTGGCAACAAATGGTTTGGCCTTCATGGAAACACAAACACCATATTGATGTGGATCTCTTTCTTTTCAAATTCCAGGAATCATGGCGTGGTTGAAGTTGAGTCATCTGGAAGGTGTGCCAAAGCCTGGTTGTTACTTCAGACTTCTATTGGCAGCAAGATCTGTCCCATTTCCTCTCTGTGCTGGATCAATGCGCCCTTGGCTTCCCACCCTTTCTACATTTGCTCCCTGTGAGGAGGAAGGAATAAAGTCCAGAAGACAATACTGTCATCTATGGAGCACCTACAGTGTCAAGCACTGAACTTTACATAGTTTATATCACTTGTTCATCCCCACGACCTTAAAAGGATGATATTATCCCCATGTTACAGCTTGAGAACTTGAAGGCTCAGAAGGCTCCAGGGTTCCCTGACTGGTAAGTGATGGAGGTTGAACTAAGCCCAGATCTACATGCTCCGTAGTCACATGAGGAAAAGAGCTTGGGAGAGTTTTATCTGTATTCCTTCTTCAACTCTGACTCAGAGGAACATGGTTTGTCTTGTTTATGCCCTAGGTCTCTACCTCCTTTAGTCTATGTGCCTACAGCTTCACAGTATGATAGTATGATCCTATCATGGATCAAAGGATGGAATAGTTCATCTCACAAACTTACATATATCATAGACTCTGAAATCTTCACCTCCAGCTCTAACTAATGGCATCAAATAGGGCCTGTTCTCCAGTCTCCCATCTGTCCTTCCTTCCATGGAATAAACACCAACTTTTGCACACCTGCTTGCCCCCAGGTCACAGGGAGGCCTCTGCCAGACCACACTTCCCACTGTGAAGGGAGGCACCTATGGCACGCCTAGACCCATTCCCTGACCTCTGTGCAGGACTACACGTAGGCCTGCCTCACCGAGTCACAGTGCAGAACTCTGAGTAGCACCTGAACGGCGATTCAGAGCAGCAGCTGCCAATATATCTGAAGGCACAGAACCCACGTGCCAGGCTGAGGGGCCAGCTCCTGTACTTGTTCCCAGCAGCAGCAGCAAGACTGCAGCAGGGTATAGCAAAGCTACAAGGTCAAGTAGGAGCAGAGTTATCACTTTGGTTTTTTAATTTAAATGACTGACCTTTACACACTTCCACCCAAAATCCTTCAAAAAGAGATAAGAACAGCCCTGAAGACACTCTCATCTCCCACCCAATCAGTTCAAGCTGAATGAAGAGCAATCCTATATGAGTACAAGAGAAAGATAAATTCCACAGGTGAGTCTAACATCACATCCAGGATGGCAGACGTCTTCATTGGGATCACTTTGCCCGTCTTCAAAGTGAGCACAACTATTCTATTCTTGAATCCCAAAGAACACCCATCAAGAGAAACATGTTCTTTGAAGTATGAGGACATGGGATGCATGGTATCTTAAAATAACAAAGGAAGGGAGTCTCTCAAATTAAGAGCATTGGGGAGGTGGGTGCATGCCACTAGGGTGAAAATGCAGGGCTGGAGGCAGGCTGTATGTAACTCTGCTTGGTCTGGAGAGAAATTACCTTCATCAGGGAGTGGGGATTTAGCAGGAGACACTCCTGACCAACTTGTGTTGGTCAGCCTTGAGTTGGTGTCAGGGCCCCAGATTCCTACCAAGTCTTACTTTACAGCTAACCCCCAGTCTCCTTATTTATCAGGGCAACTAATAAAAAATAAAGTGGTTGTTCCTCAGTTGTGTCTTCAAATATACACATGAAGCAGCTCAACCAAATACAGTGTGTCCACTCAGTCCTCCAGGAAGGGGCCTTCTTTCTTTTGGGGAGTCTGTAATAAGACTTGACTTGGCCAGTTGTGGGAGTTCCTGTTGGCTGTGACAGACCAGGTCCTCCCCCAGGGCCAGGAGTAAGGCACCAGGCTTTTGGGTGTGTGTGTGAGAGTACACAGAAACCGTCACACCCACACCCCACATACCATAACAGGGTGGAGCAACCCACTTGTCCTTACCTTAACCTTCTTGTCATGTTCAGAAATGCTGGGTTCCTAAGGACGCTGCACAAAAATGCTCAGCCAACTTAAAGGGCACCTTTCCAACAAGAGCTTCCTTTCTTTATCTGCCCCTCACATCTGGGGATCCTGGACTCCAACCAGGTCACAGCCATGAATACCATCTAATCCCTCAGGGGAAGTAGGAGTCATGTCTAGCCATGCCTGATCCCCAAGCTTGTGTTCACAAGCTCACACCACCCACCCATATTGCCTTCTTTGGGCATTTTCTCAAGTTGCATAACTTGGTCAGAAAATTTGGGGTTAACAATGAGTTATTCTACTGCTACTTTCTAAAGATAAAAGAAAAAGCCACAACATTAAATGCGATATAAACAACATTTAATCTCTGATATTTCAGAAGACACTTCAGGGTGTGAAGGGCCCATGGGGTGCTGGGTGGACGTGTACAAGTGCTGCATGGAGGGAAGGCAGCATGCAGCCCAGCCTGGGAGTCAGGAGCCCAGCTCTGTGCCCAGCTCTGTTACTAAGCAGCATTGACCGTAGATGGGTCACTTCCCTTCCCAACAGGGTTGAATTTGAACATCTCCGAGGCCCTCTCAGTGCTTCTATTCTATGAATAACTAGCAGAAAATGTATTGGGTTGATTTTTCATAGGCACCGAGGAAATTAAAAAGTACTTGCAATAGTGCGGGCAAAGCCTGAAACAGCTCTTCGGTCGAAGCCTTTGGGTTAAAGCTCCCATCCCAATGTTGGCCCCGCCCTGGTGTCAGTCATGAGCAGACTGAGAAAGGGAGCAGAAATAACAGAATCAGGGATCACTGCACAGTTTATAATTTTAATTTATCAAGTCCATGGACAAGGAGAAGGCTGCAGGTGAAGAGATGACAAACCAACTCCTCTTGGCCCCAGGCCCCCGTCTAAAAGGCCAGACCTGAAAGAGAGATCCAGCAAGGTATGAGCCAGTCTCCATCTATTGCAGGAATTCTGGGGAACCTATATTTCAGGTAATGCTACATTTGCCTAATGTCACGGGCACATCCATGGTCTCCTTTGACTTTTTTCCTCAGGCTTAGCCATCCCTCTCCACTCAGTTCTGGTTAGGCTGAACTCTACCCAATGTGCAAAAATCTCCAAATGAGTAGAATTATCAGCAATGACTCCTTATGTCATATAAATAGCTTCATTGATATATACAGCCTAAAATACACACGTGCACACACACACATTGTGGAAATCATCTTCGGGATGCTTCATTCAGGTACTCATTGGCACAACCACCCTGAGTATCAGTGTGGGCTTGGGCTGCAGTCTCTCCCTCCTTTTCGCCTTGGAAAGCAGAGCATCAGAGAGAAGCCTACCCCTGCCCATCCTCTGAGTAGTGAGGTGGGCAAGGCTCCTAGGTGGAGCCCTGAGTGTCTTCTTGTATGACAGGAGGCAAGGAGGAGGTTGTGTGGGCAGTTCTGGTGGCCAGGGCCTACTTTACTCCTTCAAGAGTCCCAGCTTCTTCAGAGCTTCCCTTCTGTGCTCATCAGGGATGCCTTTTGGGGTAATCTTGACACTGACACAGGTGGGTCGAGGCAGTTTGTCACGGCTCTGTCCTTGGTAAGACAGGCGCTTGGAGCTCTGTTCCTGATCTGCCAGCTTGCCCACCTGAATGCCTGCAAAGTCCTTCCCTGTGCCCAAGGAGGCAGGGCGGGGCCGGGAATTACGCAAGACATTGGGTGAGATTTTGTTCAAGAAGGGGTCTTTTCCCAGAGAGGTGCTGGTTTTGGAGCTGGGGTCTTTCTCAGCTGAGAGGTAGCTGCTCAGCCCCACACCTGAACGCTCCAGAGTGTTGGACTTGAAGTTCATCTGTCTAAGGCCAGGGATGCTGCTCTTCTGGAGAGTCAGGGCACTGTTTACCCTTGGGGCTGGAGGGATGGGAATTGGCATGGATTTGGTAGCTGGAACCTTCCCTGGATTGGGTTCCTGAGCAGGAATGAAAATCTTGCCTGGAGCAGACCCTTGAGCTGGAGTTGGAGCTGGAGCCAGGGCTTTCATTGGAGAAGGTCCCCTGGTTGGAAAAGGAGCTGAAGCCTTCCCTGCAGCAGGCACAGCTGCTGAGACCTGAGTTGCAGGCTCAGCCAGAGCAGGAGCTGAAGCTGGAGCCAAGGAAGGGGCCTGAGCATGAGTCCCCTTGAGTTTGATGGAGCTGGTGGGCTTATTTAAGTGGGAGCTGGGCTTATCCTGGTCCTGGGGTAGCCCCAGCTTCTCTAGAGCTTCCTTGCGTGCTTTTCTCTGCTCCTGCAGTGAAGAGGAGACCAGGCTGGAGTCTCCAGAGGCAGCCTCAGAGTGGCGGGACAGCCAGTTCTGGGAATCGCTGTGGAAACTGCTTCGGCTGCTCTTAAGAACAATGTTAGGTGGCAGCTTCCGGGGCTTAGGTGCTGTGAGGGGAGTCACTTGGGCATTTGGAGCCCCCCCTGATGGGATGGGAGCATCTGCAGCTCTCCCATTCTGAGACGACATGGCAGGAGGAGGCCGAGGCTGTCCTGGTGCCCCCGCTGAGCCTTTCTCATTGACTTTTTGGGACATAGCCTCCAAAGAAGTCTCCTTTTTCTTCTGGGGACTGAGTGCAGTGTGGAACTGGGGTGTGGGGGCCGTCTCCCCCGGCCCTTTGGACAGGCTGCCCTCTGCACACTGCTCTGGCTGGGAGTCCCGGAAGGCCTCCGGTGGGGGGATGAGAGCTACGTCCAAGTCAAGGGCAGGCTCCTGGAGCCCGACCGGAGCCTGGCTGGGCTCGCCGCTCTGGCTGACCTGCTCTTTCTCAGGGTCTGCGATGGGCCTCTCAGGTTGCCCTGGCAGGTGGCTATTAGTCTGGGTGGTGCTTTTCCTGAGGCTCTGGTTCCTACCGATGTGGATATTTCGGGGGAGGCTGTAGGAGCCGGACCTGAAGCCCAGGTGTTGGGGTTCAGGCAGATGGGGTGAGGCAGGCTGAGTCACTCTCCTTGGCTCTAGTCGTTGCTGAATGATGGTCTCCTCTGAATGTCCTGTGAGGGTCCGGAGAACAGGCAAAGAAGAGAGACAGAGGTGAGAACCCTGCTGCCAAGGGAAAAGCAAATATTTCCTGAACTCTGATCTCCAATTTGCTTGGATGGGTTTTGTTTATGTTGTTTCTTTGTTCTTAAAGGGGCAGTACTCTTGCCTGGATATCATTTAGACTAACAGATCAATACTAGCAGATTCCCCTCAATCAGGGATTAATTTTTCATGACAGTTGGGGGAAGGGCAGCCCCAGATAGCTCCATGTCCATAACTCAGGCTTTTTCTAACCCTCTACAGATGCACCAGGGGTGGGAGAGATTCAGGACAGTCCCTTTAGCTATCTTGGGGCTTCCAGGTAACTGAGCCCTATGGAAGCATTGAACACGAACAGCATGAACAGGTGATTTGCTCTTGCTGGGGTCCACCTTCTTCCACCTTCGCTTTCTATAAGTACCTGGATGATTCTGTAATGTTCAAAGCTGTCCCCTTGCCAGAGAGTGACAGACTCTTTCCTTCCAGTGAGCTAGTCAAGCCCACTGGGCCAGGGAATGAGTCTCAGGGGGCAGTGAGGCCCCATGTTCCCATTGACTGCTTTAGCTTCAGGGAGGGTCTAACATACTATCAATAAATATTTGCTAAACAAATGAATAAATGATTGTAGCCTTCACTCCAGTGGGACTCTCCTCAGGAATAAAGTGCCCACCCTGCCCTGGGACATATGGCCCAGCCCCACACTCACGGCCACACTCATGTGCCATCCTGTCCCCAACTACTGGCTGCCTTCTACTGAGCCTCGACACCACTGGCTCCCCACACTATCTCACCAGGGCCTTAAGGTGCCGCCCGTCAGGCTAAGGGAGCCCTTCCCTCTTCTTATCTCCTGCAGCCTCAGCCTCTGGGTCATCCAGACTAGCTCCCCAGACTGACTCAGTCTCTCCAGAGCCACCCACCCACACCTCCCTCACCTCTGTGGTTCTATCTATTTAGAATTTCTTCATGAGTGGATGGGAGCTGGCCAGATCCCTTTCCCTCCCAGGCCTCTGATACATATAGAAAGACACAGGAAGCTGGCTCATCAGCAGTCCCTCCTTCCCTCCAGGGACAAGGCTTTATCCTAGCCAGGAGAGTGGAAAGGATTGTGGTCATCTCTTCTTCTGCTTGCAGCCCTTAGAGCACAGAGCAAGCAAAGTGGAAAGTGGCCAGAAGGATGTTCAGATTTTCTGGGTTTCACTATAGGTGCAACCCCAGACGGTCTCTCTTACCCTGGGGAGCAGGCTGGATTATGGGCAGTGCTCTGGGACTTTGGGGGGTGGTGGCTTGCTCAGATTCGTCAGTGGACAGTCCACTGTCAGCCTCAGTGTCCAATGAGCCAATGGTCTCCTCCAGGAAGAGCAAACACTCCTTCTCTTCAGCAGACAGGAAGTCGTAGCTGTCACTCTAGAGTGGGGACAAGAGGAAGGAGAGGAGAAGGGAGCTGTGAGAGAAAGCTCTGCAGAAACTGGCGGGGCCTGAGAACCACCCTGTGTCGGGGAAGGAATGCTGAAGAGCTGGAAACTTTTCCACGATGCTACTCTGCAAACATGCTGGAGATGCTTCCTGAAACCGCAGGCACCAGGGAGGGCAGAGACTGCGGGCTGCTGCCCCATTAGCGCCCAGCTCTGGTTGCTGGGCAGGCACTTGGCAAGTGGCCTTTCTTTCACTTAGTCCTGGGTGAACTGCTTAGGAGCACATATCAGAAGCAGACCCAGGTTCTATTTCCAATTTCTCTGTGTGACCTATGTCAAGTATTTCACTTTGTGTGTCTCCGATTTAGTTCTATATCATATGAGCGACATAAAGATTTGACCTTCAACTTGAATGGCTTTGCTTTTAACTTTTTCACGTACTTCTGCATACTTGATCTGGCATGTCAAGGACAGTACAAGGACAAACAGGAAATGCAGCCAACTACTGCTGCCAGGCCAATGAGAACAGTGCTATGACTAGTCACAGATAAATTTACTAAATAATTTACACATGACTCTGCAATGCATTCCATACAGGACTTTTTGCTTTGTGTATTACCTTCTTGATGGTATTTGGCTCTGCTAACATTGAAATAAGGGTGCACTTCTTAAGCAAATATTAACTTAAGGTGGGGGGGGGAGAAACTGGATGAGTAAGAGGGGAGGAGAAAGCAATTTAGTATTAAAATATTAAGTAGATATTAAGTAAATTTTAATTATGAGAAAGTCCATTAGACTATCTGGAAAAAAATGCCATGGTCATTTCAGATGGCTACTGCCCATTTTCTATAAGGCCAAGAAGATCTATGAAACAGTTGCTCTCCAAACAAGAAGGTTGAAAGGAAAACCAAAAGGGCAAGTGGGAATGTATGAAATTTGGCTCGAGTCCCTTCCTGGCATATTCACCCCTCTTCCTAATATTTGAGATGCTTCTGAGTTGTATATTCTCCAGAACCACATAGATGGCCAGGAAAGATTTTGGGATAGCCCTAAAAATATCCTGGGAAGAGGGAAGATGGCTGTTGGAATAATCCATCCAGTCCCCAGACTCCTTAAAGAGCTATCTGTCAGTTGACTGAGTGAGGCCTACATTTCAAGGGAAGCCCCAAACATACCCCTTGGAAGCCCTGAAGTCAACTCTAGGGGCTCTCTGAACAAAGACCTTCTTTACTGCCCTCTTCCACCTAAAACGGCCTTGCCGAAGATAGGCCAGCTCTGAGTTTCTTCTTTGTGGATGATTCTCTTTGAAAACCTTCAATCCCGGTCATACTCTGTGTCCAGTGGTATTTAACTATGCATATTGGCCTCAGCCTAACAGAAACAGAAAGATGTCTCTGTGGCCCCATTATCAAAAATCAAAAAGAAATTATATACAGATTGCCTGCACCTTGGATTTAGTGTTTTTGTGTGTGCTGCTTTTTCTAATCCAGTTTACATATCAAAACTCACTGACTATCTATTTTCTTTATAATTCTCACCCAAAGATATGTTTTCACTGATAAGAGAGAGAGAGAGAGATAGAGAGAGAAATATCAATAGGTTGCCTCCCATACATGCCCTAACTAGGGATCGAACTGCAACCTGGGTATGTGCCCTGACTAGGAATCGAACCTGCCATCTTTTGTTGTATAGAATGATGCTCCAACCAACCAAGCCACACTGGCCATATTGAACACCCTTGACATACAGTAGAGACCCTTATAATCCTTAACTTTTCAAATACCTCTAGAGGATACAAAGCTATAAACTATAAATTCTCAGGCATTATGTATATGACAAATCTCAACAAGAAAGAAATGCTTACATGTGGATATAGGGCAGATTTACCCTTTCACACTAACCATACAACAATTAAGATTTAAATTCACACCCAGAAAAAGTACAATTTATTATGTGCCAATAATTAAACGTGGTGACTTTGGAAGGGTCTCAATCTCTGCTCCTAGATAGACTATTTCTTTTCTATATAGAGGCACGTGCTAAGTGCTTTCCATACGTTTCAGTTACCTCCCCCCAAGAACCCTGTGAATTAGGTTTTAATATTATCCCCATTTTAAAACTAAGGAGACTGAAGCTTAGAGAAATTAAGTAATTTGCCCAAAGTCATACAGCTTATACTAGGGAACCCAGATCTGTTTGGCTCCAGAACCCAGGCTCTTAATCGCTCTATTCTCTTGGATCTTTTTAAAGACTGAAGTAATGCTGCTAATTGCAGAGAACCTCGGGAAACCATGTGCCACAAGGATCTACATTCTAGTTTCCAGCATGACCTCAGATCACCGGCCTGCTCTCTCACCTCAACTCAGAACCCCCAACCTAATGAAAATTAGACAGAGTCTCATTTGTCCTGCTGTGCTCTGGGGTTGTCCCACCCCATCCTCTACAGAACCAGGGGTGACTCAGAGGCAGAAAGCATCAACTAGTATGATTCACTCCCTGCCGAGGAAGATGAAAGAGAGGGAAGGGTGAGCCAGGAGGGTGGTGGGCAGGGCGGGCGTGCAGACAGCGGCGGGTGCAGGACAGACAGTACGTACAGATCCAGAGCGGGTGGAGGTGGCGCTCGCCATGCTGTCCCAGCTGCCGACGCGGGTCACGGCTTCCGAGCCAGGCCCCTCTGGCCACAGCTCCCTCTCGGGCATTGCCAGAAGCAAGGTGCAGGGACGGTGAAAGGGGCTCCCAGAGGGGAAGCGAGGGGAAGCGAAGAATGTCCCAAGCTGGGCCTGAAAAGAAAAGAGTCAAAGCCACGTGTGAGCCAAGCCCGGGCTCTGGCAAGGCTCTGCCCGGGCCCCGGAGTGGCATGGCGGCAGGGACACCAAGCAAGCAAAGAGCTGGAAGGGGCTGTGGACAGCCGCGACCCAAACCCAGCCCCAGCCTGCATGGAAGGACACACGAGCCGGCTCACATGCACGCAGAAGGGCGGACTTGGGTGGTGGAGAAGGGGTCTGGTCAGAAAGGAAATTCTATCGCTCCCTTCAGTCACCTTTTTCTCTGACCCGGGGAGCTTACCCTACCTCCTCATTACTATAGACAATAAATATGACGGGGTAAACAGCTTGGATTCTGGAGGTAATCGGAGGTGGGCTCAAATCACAGTTTAGCCATTTACAGTTATGTGGCTTGAGGCAAATTACTCTTTCAGTTTGTTTCTCCTCATTAAACAGGGTAAACGTAAGGATGAAATGAGAACAGTTAGGATAATTTAGCTGGTAGTAAATATTAAACAATGAATAATTAACTACTACTGTTCTTAAAATTACTACTGTTCTTAAAATAAGAAAAAGACAAATCCATCTGGGATCAAAATAAATTATAGGAAGGGAAACAAGAGTTTAGAAAAGAAGGGTTCACGCTCAAATGGGAGACTATAGGCTTGAAAGAAGGAACAGGGCCCTTAACAGTACCTACTTCACAGGGGTTTTTTTGAAGATATAACAAAGCATTCCATGTAAAACACTTGTGCAGTGCATGGCCCAATTGTCAGCTACTATGATAGTCAACACCACCATCATCATCACAACAGCCACCACCAAGCCACCATTATCTCCCTAGCCTGGGACATACATGCATAGCACCTATAGTGGTTGACACAAACCTAATTTCCCTCCTGTGCATCACCCCCTCTATTGTTGAACTTATTCCAATGAGGTTTCCTAACCTGTGTCAAATGAACAAGAGAAATGTCCTATATAGCTTCCTCCCAACTCCAACTCCCAGGGAAAAAAGTTTCAAATGCATTGTGCTAATAGTAATAGCAAAGGAAGGCAGTGCCATCTTCCTTCTGAAAATCACAAGGACTTTCACATGCCTGCTTGTGGGAAACACTGCAGCAGGGTTGGAAAGGCCAGGGGAAATCTCCTATATAAAAATGAAATTCTAAAAGAATAAAGATTAAAAGACAGACCAAACAGAGAGCTGAGGGAGAGGTAGAATACAAAATATAGAATACAGTCTGATTTGGAATCCACAGTTTCCCCATGACACCATATTTTATTTTCTACCATCTTTCCTACCCTTCCAACACTAGGTAAAATGTCTTAGAAAAAATGTGTTCTATTTGAGATCCTGGGACTTGGGGTTTGGATTCCAGGGCTCCTTGTTTCTTCCAGCAACTGCTCCCAATGCCAAAGTTTGGGCTGTGTCGGGTATGTCAGCCTGCCAGCTCCCTAGAGCTGACAAGCACAAGGCCTCACAGAGCTCCCCTCCTGCTTGGGAGAAGGCCCTCAGATGGAGCAGGTGGGGAGGAGCAGGACAATGGGGATGAAGAGGGAAGATCCCTAATGACACATGTAGTTTATGAGGGTCCAGAGCCTCTCTGGAGATAGAGAGGGGGTCAGAAGGGACAGAGATGCCAGGGACACCCAATGATAAGTCATCATTGGGTGAGATAGCTCTTAGGGTTCCCTCATGAGGTTAGTTCCCCAATATCTAGAACCCCAAAGAAACAGAAACATGAAAAGTCATGAAGTGAAGTTTGCTCACCTAGTATATCCACTCTGTTGATGACTGTCTAGGTTCAGATAGTACTACATCATTCTTAACATTCTATGGCACTGAGGCCATCACAGCAGAGGGGACCCCTCTCTCATAAGCCTAGGCACACAGGAGGCACTCAAGAAATGCTAGATGAGCAAACTTGTCATCCATTTTAGTGACTGTTGGGTCCAGCTATTGGAAGGCCTCTTCTTTTGGCTTCTACTCTATTACCATAAGCTCAATGGAATTTGGGCAATGCTTTCAGTTAAACTAACAGACATGGGGCATGCACTGTTTCTAAGAAGTGAGTGTAGAACCAAGGGTCTAGTTTTTGGCTCCATTTTTCTTATTTACTGTAGCACTGGGGCAGTAAACATTAAAAGCGGCTCACTGTAATTAATAGAATATTCTCTGCGAATGGGTGAGAGAATTTTCCTTTCAGAGAAAATTACTACTCATGTTCTTGCAAGCACACTTCCATCTTTATAGTGGTTTACAAGCCCATCCTTCCTCCCAAGGTGCCTATCACACTCTCACTTCAGAACCAAGACAGCCTGAAGCAGCTGGAAGAGATAGAAACAATATGAACAGCACTGCTTCAAAAAACACCGCATGGTACAGCTTACTGAGTACTTTAGATATGCTAATTAGATCTTCAAATTAACCTAACTTAGGCAGGATGTGACATTTTCATTTGACACACAGGAAAGCTGGAGCTCTTCGCACTTCCCCTCCCTAAGGAAAGTCAGGAATGACCTCTGACTGCACATACAGGGCAGCCCGTGGACCCTAGCCCTCCAGAGGGCATCTCAGGCTGTCCAGATGCAAGAGGACCACACACCTAAACAAGGGCCACTGGCCACCCCTGACTGAACACTGGAAGCCCCACGGTCACCCTTCTTCTAACTCACACCTCAAACCCTAGTTCAGCCTTCTGCTCCCAGGCCAGGTTTGGCCCCAACAACAGATATCTCCAGAGTAAAGACATTACACCAAATGCCACTGAAGATCCTATCACCAGACACCACACAACCTCTGCAGAAGTGAACTGGAACCTGAACCAAAGCCCAATGAGCCCCAAAGTGCTCACACCTGGTTTCCACACCGTGCTTTCTGACTCAGAGTCTGAACTGTGAGGGTGTGAAGGTCTTCTCTCCCCACTTCCACCTCCCTCTCCAGTTTGGCCTGATCTGGAAGCTGCTGCACTTCCTTCCACCAACTTTACAACCTTGAAACTTTTCAGGGCAACCATCGAAACCTGAGACATTTCAATCTGATAACAAGCTTGAGAGACAAGCAAACACTCAGGTGAGAGCTTGGTATCTTTTAACCCTTGACCTCTGGGGGACCCGAAGGGAGGAGGGAATGGGTTAAGAAATGTGTGTAGTAGTTAAATATTAACTGCTCCACTAAAGCCAGCCAAGCCTTGGAGAATAAATAAGTAGCAGGCATCTGAAGAGGGTGGGGTGGGGAGCAGGCTTCAGCCCCACTCCAGTTTGTTTTCTCTGTACCTCCTAAATAGACTCATCCCATGAGCCCACCCCCATATCCTCCAAGGGCTCAGCCTCCCTCCTCCCTCCCCAGTACTCAAGGAGGTTGCCTATTTCTCTTAGACCAGGTGTCTCTGCTTTTCGATGACCCAGAAATGCACCTCCAGCTGGAGAGCATCCCAGGGAAACCCCAGGACCACTACAAGTGCTGTGTGTGTGTGGCCCTCTCCGTGAGCACGTGGGCAAGCTCCTGTGTGTAAGGCAACATTATAATCTCCTTTTCACCACTGCATTTGAGACGGGGTTAGCAGAAATATTCTCTGCACAAAAGGGCTTTGTCCGAAACGGAAGGTTGTCTTTACTGCTGACAAGCTCCCCATCTACGGCAGCCCTCAGTCAGCGAGTTGGGTGGGTCGGTTCTGGGGTGTGGGCTAAGCTCAAGCCTCAAGCTCCAGTTGCGAAGACTGGAGACCCAATACAGTGGTTGGCAAATTAGGTTTACAGTTGTTCATTTGAAAAATAATACAAGAATTAATAATAACACAGGAATAAACTCAGTTCCGCATACTCACATCTGTAAACCTACTTTTGCCCCACCCTGTGTGTGTTTCAGGCCCTGGGAGCCTGGCACTGGGGTCTTCCCGCTTCGCTTCCCTCTTTCCTGCAGCAGGAGAAAGGAGGGAAAGAGGCAAAGGTACAGAGCAGAGTGTTAACCCCACAGGCGGGTAATGGAGAGAGCTGACTTACTACCCTGACTTGACTTCTACACCCAGCTTCCTTGTGCAGGTAAACCTGCCAACCGTGCTGCCAACTGGGACACTGAAGGAACACACACACAATCTGGTTCTCCCCTCTGGGGACACCGCCACACTACTCTGACTTGAGCCCCACTTGGAACTTCTACAAGGGTCGACGTGCTACCGTGAAATATTCATAAAAATGTGGCTGAGGCCCCAGCACAGCCAAGTAGCATTCTGTTTGCCAGTCTTTAAGTCCACTAACAGGTAAAGTCAGAAAATTAATGAGTTGAGCCCTAATAAAGGGGACTCTGCAATGAGATTACTGTGGGTTTTCCAGAGATGAGCTGGTAGCCTGAGCTGGAGTTTTTCCAATGCAACCAAACCTCGTGTCCGCTTGCAAACAGCCTGGCAGAGCTTACGCCTCACAGGCCTGCCCACAGAGCTCCACTATCACATTGCCATCACTGCACACACACACACACACACACACACACACACACACACACACACACACACGCTGCACCCTCTGCTTAAACAGAGATGGGCCATAAAGCCACGGGAGATTTTCAGGTTAGCAATGCAATGGAAAACCACTTCCCTACTCCAACTATTCCCTTCCAAAGTCACGACTCAATTTGCATTGCTCAGAGATGGAAATTTCCAAGACAAATCTATTCCCCCCCTTGCTGCCGGTGCAATATGCTCATCCAGCCTAAAGGGGCAGATGGGAAAATGGAAAAGCATTCCAGCCCCGGTCTCCACAAAAGCACTTCAGTCCAACTTTCTTGGATCCCTGCTTGGCCTCTGAGAGCTGAGGAACAGAGAGGAAAGCCCCTTATCTGTGGTGTATAGGGCCCCCCACAACCCTGTAGCTCTGAATTCCCACAAAAGCCCCCCGCCTTGCTACAGAATAAGCAATAGCTAGTCAGCGATTAA